GTGTGTGTGTGTGTGTGTGTGTGTGTGTGTGTGTGTGTTGACTCTAAATAGAGTCTGATTTAAAAAGAAAAGAAAAGAAAAGAAAAGACAGGAGAAAGGCCACAACGCCACAAGAAAGTAAACTCGCTACATCTTAATTACCCTTTCGTTTTCACATGACGCCTTTCTTTCTGGGTGGGTTGGTGTTTATTTTGAGTCCTCTGGCCAAGTTTGCACAGCAAAACCTGCCGGTCCTCCAGTCCTCAACCCTTTGTTGTACACGTACAAAAAGTCTGCCTAAAGGGGTCCGTTTTTTTTTTTCGCACAAGGAAGTTCCCAGTGAAATGACCTGGAAGTATCAGCCAAGACACAGTCAGTGTTGGCCTAAAATAGGACTGAAAGGAGCTTTTTGTGCTTTTCCTAATTATCTCCTTCAGTGAGGGAATTGACTGACTTTTTAAAAATGTATTTTTTGGTACAGTCCTTCAAGGTAAAGCTCATAGCACTAATACGATTTATATATTTAAAGTTTTATGGCATTTTTGTTGATCAAGGAAAAGTACTTTAGACAAAATAATATTCTATTTTAAGTTTACGTATCAGGCAAAATACAGTTTCTTAGCCATTAAATGCATTTTTTTGTACTTTGTACAAGTTTCTCCTGGTGCCACAAATATGTATTTATTTTCTGTTTAGGTTGCCTAACCAACCCACTCAGTTTTCTTTATTTTCTGTGACATTTTCTAAACTGTTACATAACAGTATACTTGCGAAGGAATTTTAAAACAAGGTCTGGACTTACCAACTAGAATTTGGTGGTCTTCATTCTCCTCCAGTTCTGGGTCAGACTCTGGCTCCAACACGTATGGTTGGATGGACAAGAGTCCGTTGTTGACATCTTTTAATTAAATTGCGGAAAAAAAAGTTTCTGCGCCACTATCTCTAAAACTAGAATGAACCACTCTGGAAACTGAAGGGGGTGGGGGTGAGAAGCATTTCCTTTGGATTTAAAGAGACAGTCTTAAAACGAGTTGCTCTGGGACACACCTCGGAAATAGGGTGAACGAGGGGCTTGTGGAGTTACAATAAGGAGTTCCACTTTGTATAGACCCCAACTGAATGATTTAAATGTAAAAAAAATTAAAAGCAGGATTTGTCTACTTTAATATAAACCTAACCCTGAATTAATGTATGTATGTATGTATGTATGTATGTATGTATGTATGTATGTATGTATGTATGTATGTATGTATGTATGT